CAAACACCTAATAGTTCTTCTATCACCCAGGAGGCCTTCCTTGTCACTTCCAAGTTACATAGATTCATCTCGCAGTACTAACATACTCATCACATGGTTACCCAACCGTCACTTCCACTAATAGAGACAATACCGAACATGTAAGTTCAAAACCACGTATTCACACACTCAGCAACTCGGTGCTCAAGCCATAGGCAAAGACCCGGCCTTAAGTCCTCCAGACTGGCCCAACATCAAACTCACAGAGATCATATCTCGCCCCTTGATCGGGGAATCACAAGCCATCAAAGCACATCTGATACTGAGCGCTCATGCGCGCATACAAACGCGTGGAAGGAATTTCAAGAGTTTCTTTTCAAGCTGAATCAAGGACGCACGATAAGAATTCAAGAATGTGAAGTTTTCCTAAAGGTTCTGCAGCCTCTCAAGGATAAATACAGACGTCTGCGTACCGATCCGCGAGACTCTACTAAACCTGCTTATGACTCGTGAGACCTAGTAACCTAGGCTCTGATACCAACTTGTCACGACCCAAACCCCGCTCCGGTCGTGATGGCGCCTCTCGTAAAGACAAGGCCAGCCAGACCATTTCAGAACACCTCTTTTAAGTAGTTAGACAGTTCATAAGCAGTTTAAATATGATTTCATGATATTAATTAGCGGAATTACAACCCAACACCGCCGTAATCGGGGTGTCACAAGTCACGAGCATCTATTAGAGTGTAAATCCAACTACAAGGTCTAAAATATACAAAACCGAAATAATGAACAAAAGAGAGAAAAATGGTGCTGCGAACGCTGGCAGTCACCTCGCTAACTCCTATAACTCTGCCTCTGATCAGCCAAAACCCGCTAACGGGTGGATAAATACCTGCATCTGCACACGAGGTGCAGGGAGTAAAGTGAGTACTCCAACTCAGTGAGTAATAAAGGTAAATGACAACTGAGCAGTAAGAAATCACGTATAACAAATCATCATGCTGTATAGAAGCAATATAAAACCCTTTTGAGAAAAACAGTGAAACTGTGAAATTTATAGAAATATTTTGGCTCAGTTTAAAATCTCTTTTGAAAATGACTTTTTCAACGGTTATGCGAATAAATGCAAACAATTAGTGCAGATAAGCACAGGAATCCACCCCTCGGGCACAACACTCACTCAACAGATAATGCCAGGCAATCAGGTAGATACCCCGTGAAGTAACACAAACAACAGATAATGGCAGACAATGAAATAAAGTAAACACGTAGAACAGTACTACTACCGCTACGGCGTGCAGCCCGATCCACATATCGCTGCCGCGTGCAACCCGATCCGTTTATCGTCGACGACGCTCACTGCGGGTGTGCAGACTCCGGCAGGGCCCCTTACAGCCCAAGCACAATATCAAGCCATCTCGTGACATCAAATCTAGTCCCTTGGCCTCATACCAGTATTAGTATAACACTGCTGCGGCGTGCAGCCCGATCCGTATATATATATATATATATGCGGCGTGCAACCCGATCCAAAAGTATCCTCACAATACAGGCCCTCGGCCTAACTCAGTCAACAAAATCACATAAGCCACTCAGGCAACAATAAACATGATACTCAGCCCAAAATATTATTGGAAATATCATTTCAAGTGTTAAAGCAAGTAAACTTGGCTGAGTTTTGAAAACAGTGGAAAAATGCATGACTGAGTTCAAGTATAAAATCAAAACAGTGAGGACATATCAACAACCATCCCCGAAGGGGTTCAAATAGCTGGCACGAAGCCCAAATATGGCAATCAGCCCAAGTCATGATGATAACAAATAAGTTTCAGTCAATTACACAGTAAAATCATCAATCGGAACGGACCAAGTCACAATCTCCAAAGGTGCTCTACCCCACGCTCGCTATCCGGCGTGCAAGTCACCTCAATATAGCACTACGATGTGCAATCCGGGGTTTCAAACCCTCAGGATATCATTTACAATCATTACTCACCTCGAACCGACGATATCTCTAGCTCACGTCGCCTTTTCCCCTCGAATCGGCTTCCACGCGCGTCGAATCTATCCAAAATCAGAGAGAATATATCACAATATGCTAAGGGAACAATACCCAATCGAAAACAATCGAAAAATATCAAAAATCTCGAAATTAGCAAAACCCGAGCCCCGGACCCACTTCTCGAAACTCGAAAATTTTCACATCAATAGGTTCCTCATCTCCTCACGAGTTCATACATACCAGTAGTACTCAAATCCGACCTCAAATGGTCCCTCAAATCCCCAAATCAAATTTCAAATCTCAAGCCCTAGTTCTTCAATTTTAGGCTTAATTTTCATGAATTTCTAGGTGGATTTCACAATAAAAACGAGTATTGAGATCAAAAATCTTACCTCCAATCGATTCCCCTCGAATCCCTCTTTAATCTCAACCAAGAAGCTCTCAAAATAATCAACCATGGAGGAAAAATGACCCAAAATCGCGGGTGAAATGAGATTATAACATTCTGCCCAGTCCTGTAGATCCTTCATCGCGATCGCGACCAAGGTCTCACGATCTCGAAGGGCAAAATTCCAAGCTTCCAAAATTATACTATGTGAACGCGACAGGGACTATGCGAACGCGAAGCTTCCACAGACCAAGCTATGCGAACGCGTGAACATACACGCGAACGCGAAGAGAAAATCATACCTGGACTCCAAAGTCTCATACGCGAACGCGAGCCATGCGATGCGAACGCGAAGCACCAAATCACTACCTTACGCGAACGCGGACCCTCGAACGCGAATGCGAAGGGTAAAACACCCACCTTCTAAAAACCTTCTACTGCAACCTCTGAACAGCAATTTCTGCAACTCCCAAAGCCAAAAATGGTCCGATTGACCACCTGAAACTCACCCGAGGCCCTCGGGACCTCGAACAAAAGCACCAACACATCCTAAAACCTCATTCAAACTTGTTCCAATCACCAAAACACCTCAAACAACACCAAAACCATCAATTCACATCGAATTCAAGCCCAAGTTTTCCAAAAATTTCCGAAACACGCATTTGATCAAAACCCAACCAAACGATGTCCGAATGACCCAAAATTTGCACACACATCTCAAATGACATAAGAAAGCTTCAACGGCTCTCGAAATTCCATTCCGACCATCGGATCAAAATCTCACCTATCAACCGGAAATTGCCAAAATACTAACTTCGCCAATTCAAGCCTAATTCTACACCGGACTTTCAAAACCAATTCCGATCATGCTCCTAATTCAAAAATCACCTAACGAAGCTAACCAAATCATAAAAACTCCGATCCGAGCTCATACACAAATAAGTCAACTCTTGGTCAAACCTTTCAAATTCAAAGCTTTCAACTGAAACTGTTCTTTCAAATTCATTCCAAATTTTCCTGAAAACCAAAACCAACGATCTACATTAGTCATAATACATAACACGGGGCAAGTCATGCCCGAGAACTGGCGATCAAAGTGCAAAAGCTCAAAACGACCGGTCGGGTCGTTACATAAACTCAAGATTTTCGAATGTGTAAAACACAGCTTACCTCTTGACCTTTAAGGACTCATTTGGTTGGGATTAAGTTATTCTAAAATTAATAATTTCGGGATTTAGTTTTCTCATAGCTAATCTCGAAATTAGTTATGCCGCAATTATATCCCAACAAACGTGGTTAAACTCATTTTAGATTTAATTACGGAATTAATTATCCTTTATACCTCGTACCTAAGGGTTGGGAAAAAAATATCAGATTCATCTTTTGAATGATAACGATAACCCCTTTAACTAAAAAAACTCACCTGGAAAATATAGCAACAACAACAACAACAACAACAACAACAACGACAAAAAACTCAGTATAATCTCACGAGAAGGGTCTGGGGAGGGTAGTGTGTACGCAGACCTTACCCCTACCTTGAGGGTAGAGAGATAGTTTCCGATAGATCCTCGACTCCAGGAAAGAAAAATAAAGCAATAACAACCAGCAATACCAACAACGAGATTATAAAAAAAAATAAGCAGTAACAACAACAAGATAATAAAAGAACAAGCAATATCAATGAGCAAGATAATAAGAAAACATGTAGTAATAATGATTGTCAATGAGCAAATACAAGGCTAACTACTAATACTAGCGGTATGGGGAAGACACACATTCGACTACCTATTACCGTAATTTTCGACCTTCACACCTTCCTATCAAAGGTCATGTTCTCAGTGAGTTGAAGCAACGCCAGGTCCTGCCTAATTACCTCTCACCATTACTTCTTTGGCCTACCTCTTGAAATGATTTGAGAATTACTAGGGTATGAACCCTATAGATGAAGATGAGTTAGAGGAGATGAACTAGAGAGAAGTTAGAGAGAGAAATAAGCAGTAGGAAATGATTTCATATCTATTGCATGTATTGAAAAATCTGTTGATATGCATTATATATGTAGGTAATTAACTAAATAATGGACTCCTAACTTCCGTTAATTAACATACACAGTGAAATGACTATTCTGCCGTTTCTATATTACACTTAAGTTACCCCTCTCTCAACACTCCCCCTCAAGCTAGGTGGTGCAAAAATATTGAGAACTCCTATCTTGGAGATAAGATGTTCATGTTGAAATCTGGTGAGACCCTTGGTAAGAATATCTGCTGGTTGATCTTTGCTAGGAATGTACCTTGTTGCTCTCAGACCTTGCACTATCCTTTCTCATATAAAATGACAGTCTATTTCGATGTGTTTGGTTCTCTCATGGTATACAGGATTGGCTGCAATCTGTATAGCAGCCTTGCTATCACTGTACACTTCAATAGGTAGAGTTACTTCAATCCCAATTCCTGCATCAGTCCTTGTAGCCAAATGAGTTCAGCTACTGTGGCTGCAATGCTTCTGTATTCAGCCTCAGCAGAGCTCCTAGATACTGTAGTTTGTTCCTTTGATTTCCAAGAAACTAAGGAGTCTCCAATTGATTAAGTAACTTGTTACTGATTTTCTGGAAATTGGACATGCTGCCTAGTCTGCATCACAGTAAGCTGTGATGTTATTGTTGGTTGAGCTTGATAGCAGAATTCCTCTTCCAGGTTGACTCTTGACATATTTAACAACTCTCATAGCTGCTTCCATGTGAGATTTTTTAGGTTGTTGTAAAAACTGACTGAGGGTTTGAACACTAAATGAAATATCAAATCTGGTCATTGTTAGATAGAGTAGTTTACCTATCAATCTTTGGTATGAATTAATGTCAGCAAGAGGTTCATCTGCTAACTGACTGTCATTTTTACAGTGATCATCATACTCTTTTATTGTCAGTATATCATTAGTGTCTAAAGGAGTTGCACAGGGTTTAGCAGCACTTAATCTAAGCTCAGAAATGAGTTCTAGTGCATAATTCCTTTGGTGCATCAGTATCCCTTGTTTAGATCTTGCAAACTCAATACCTAGAAAGTACTTTAACTCACCCAGATCCTTCATTTTAAAATCTTGTTGCTATCTGCTCTATGTTTCTTCAATCAAACTCAAACTATCACCTGTTATAAGCATATCATCGACATATACTAACACCATAGTAGTACCTTCAGATGTTTTCTTAATGAACAAGGAGTGGTCAAACTGATTTTGCTCTAATTCAGACTTTATTAGGGCTTCGGTCAATTTTGCATTCCACTGTTTTGGAGCTTGTTTTAGGCCATACAAGGATTTGATGAGCCTGCATACTGGTTTCTTCTTCCCCTGGCTCTTAAATCCTTGTGGAAGCTCCATGTATATTTCATCATATAAATCTCCTTGAAGGAATGCATTATACACATCCATTTGGTGTATATGCCACTTCTTTCCTGCTGCAACTGGTAGTACTGTTCTTACTGTCTTCATTTTAATTACTGGAGAAAAAGTTTCCTGATAATCAATTCCTTCCTTTTGACTGTATCCCTTTGCTACTAATCTGGCTTTAAACCTCTCAATTTCACCTGTAGCCTTGTACTTTACTTTGTAAATCCATTTACATCCTATTGGTATTTTGCCTTCAGGAAGAGAAACTATATCCCATGTATGATTGCTTTGTAAAGCATCAATTTCTGCTTTCATTGCTTCTATCCATCTTGGATCTTTGGCTGCTTCTGAATAGGTTGTAGGCTCAATTACACTTGAAGAGGTGGCTATGTATGCTTGATAAGCTGGGGATAGTCCTTCATAAGTAATGTATTTTGAGATAGAATATGGAACCTTTTGATGAATATTAAGTGACACAAAGTCACTCAGCCATATAGGTGGTATTTTTTTCCTATCAGATCTTCTATGTCCAGATTGGACTAATGGATCTGTGATCAATGTGAATTCTGTAGATGGCATCTCAGTGCGTAGGTCTTGAAATTCTTGAGCTGTATTGTCTATAGTTTGATTATCAAATTCTTCATAGCCTTGAGGTAGCTCCTGTATAGTTTCTAAAGTATGGTTAAGTTCCGGTTCCACAGTATCACTTGGAATTTGAACTGATATTTGATCATGTGCTAGTACACACTGAGGTACTGAACATTGGATGTTCTGTAGATGTGAAGTTATTGAGGTTGGGAATATAGGCACCGAGTAATCTTCTTTCTTCTTGAAGGGAAAGACATCTTCTCTAAAAACTACATCCCTATTGAGAAAGAAGGTCCTATCCTTCAGGTCATATCATATAATAGGTATCCTTTTTGAGTTTCTGCATATCCCATATGGACTGCAGTTTTGGTTCTTTATAAAATTTTGTCATGTTGTTGAACTAATTTTGCATAACATAGGTGTCCTAATACCTTCAGATGAGAATACGAAGGTGTTTTATGATATAGTTTTTCATAGGGAGTTTTGTTGTTGATAACAACACTTGGTATTCTGTTTATGAGATAAACAGCAGCATTCACACAGTGACCCCAAAATCTTATTGGTATTTTAGCTTGAAACCTAATAGCCCTGGTGATTTCTAGAATATGCCTGTGCTTTCTCTCAGCAACTCCATTTTGCTGAGGAGTATAGGCACATGAAGTTTGGTGAATAATCCCAAGTTTCTTAAACATCTCACTGCATACTGAGTTTATAAACTCAGTGCCATTATCAGTTCTAATAACTCTAATAATCTTGTCAAACTGAGTTTTAACTAATACCAAAAATTGTTGTAGTAATACACGTACTTCAGATTTCTGCTTGAGCAAGAATACCCATGTCATTCTTGAAAAATCATCAACAACTGTCAAGAAGAATTTATTACCGTCATACGTAGGGGTCTTATATGGCCCCCATAGATTCATACATACTAGATCAAACCTACTTTCAGTTTTAATACTGCTAATAGGAAAAGGTAACCTTGTTTGCTTAGCACAAGGACAAACTACACATTGTTTTACAGTATCAGCTATGAGCTCTACTTTACTATGAAGTAACTTCTTAAGAATTGTAGTTGAAACATGACCAAACCTTTTGTGCCACAAGTCAATATCCTTTGCTGTAGTTGAAATTGTCTGATCCTTGTTTTTTATTCCATCAGTTACTACTAAAGATGTTCTAAAAGCTTGTCTTTCTAGTATGTAAAGTCCATCATCTTCTCTACCAATCGCCCTCACCTTCTCACTGAAGAGTTCCTGAAATACACAGAAATCAGGAAAGAAGGCTGCTGAGCATTGCAATTCCTTTGTCAGTTTAGACACTGATTGTGATGACCCAAAAGGTCATCTTTCATTTTAGAATTCGTTTTTGTATTTTGAGGCCTTAAAAACCTCCTTTTATCTCTCCTCGATTTGCGTGTGCAGTCCGGGCACGATACCTGAAAGTTTTTGTGTGAAAAATTTAAAGAATAATGATTTCTGGCTTAAAAATATAATTTTAGTTGACTTCGGTCAACATTTTGGTTAAACGGACCCGGACCCGTGTTCTGATGGTCTCGGAGAGTCTGTAGTAAATATGGGACTTGGGCGTATGCCCGGAATCGAATTCGAGGTCTCTAGCCCGAGAAATGAATTTTTGAAGAAAATTATTTGCTGGAAAATATAAAGGTTTTTTGAAATTGAATAGTGTTGGAACTTGATGGTATCGGGCCCGTATTTTGATTCCGAAGCCCGGTACAGGTTTGTTATAATATTTAAGTCATTTCTGTGAAATTTGGTGAAAAACGGAAGAGATTTGACGTATTTCGGACCTTCGGTTGAAAAGTTAGAAATTTTGAACTATCTTGAAAATTCATGAGTTTTGGTGTTAAATTCATCGTTTAAGATGTTATTTTAGCGATTTGATCGCACGAGCAAGTCTGTATGATGTTTTTAGACTTGTATGCATGTTTGGTTTAGAACCCCGAGGGCTCGGATGAGTTTTACATTGGCTTCGGGGTGTTTTAGACTTGGTGAAAAAAATGTTGCAGGTTCAGTTCTGTTGCAGAGCCTCTGATCTCGCAATTGCGAGATCAATCCTCGTATTTGCGACCACTGTTGGGTTCGCATTTGCAACATACTCATCGCAATTGCGAAGAGTAGCTGTGAAGGCCAGTGTTCGCAATTGCGAACAGCTCTTCGCATTTGCGAAGAAGTCAGGCTAGAGGGGGAGGGGAGGGGGGGGGTTTCGCAAATTGCGGCCAAAAGGTTTGCATTTGCGATGTTAGCAGGGCAGGCCAAGCTTCGCATTTGCGAAGCCTTGGTCGCATTTGCGAACCTGGGATCGCAAATGTGATACCTGCAATTGGGTAAAACATCACTTAGTCGGGATTTTGAACTCATTTCTCAAATTTCGGAACCCTAAACCTCCCTAGGCGATTTTTCAAAGACCCAAACTTCTCCAAATCATTGGTAAGTGATCTCTAACTATTTCCTTTTAATCCTTTTCAACTTTTAACAAGATTTCAACCAAAAATCTAGAGTTTTCATGGTAAAAATTGGCATTTTTGGGTAGAACTTAGGAATCTCGAATTTGAGGGATTTAGACCTCAATTTGGGGTCGGATTCCGAAACCAATTGTATATCCAGGCTCGGGGGTGAATGGGTAATCGGGTTTGGGTCCGAACTTTGAGTTTTGACCAAGCGGGCCCGGGGTCTACTTTTGACTTTTTGAGAAAAAATATTGGGAAATCTTTGATTTTGCATTGAAATTGGTTTCTTTTGCGTTTATTGATGTTATTAAGTTAATTATGTCTAGATACGGTGAATTGGTGGTGAAATCGAGAGGTAAAGCGGTGATTGAGCTTTGAAATACCCGTTGGCTCGAGGTAAGTGGCTTGCCTAACCTTGTATGGGGAAAACTCCCCTTAGGATTTGGTATTGTTGTTATATGAATGCCGCGTATGTGAGGTGAAGAGTGCGTACACGTGCTAATTGTTGGAAAACCCCGTTTTCATTAAGTAAATATTTATGTTTCCTTTTTGTTGAACACTACTTGCAATTAAAAGCCTACTGTTTAGTTTAGGAAAGCATGCCTAAGTGACTTAATTGTTCTACCTGCTTAAACTGTTACTTGAATTCTGTGCAGCATGTTTAGAATAGAAATATCTGTTTTCCTGGTACGAATTTTGATAGAACTGTATATTCTTCTTGAGACTGTTGTGACTTTACTTTGGGACTACGGGACGATATCCCGAGAGATCCCTTTGCACATTTACTTTGGGGCTACGGATCGGTATTCCGGGAGATCCCCCTGCACATTTATATTTGGAACTACGGGACAACATCCCGGGAGATTTCCCTTGTATTGGATATTTACTTTGGGACTACGGATTTGTATTCCGGGAGATCCCCCTGCATAATTATGATTTGGACTACGGGACGGTCTCCCGGGAGATCCCCTGTTGTTATCTATGTGTACTGAGTACATTCTGTCTGTTATTTTGCCCTTTATCGATTGTTAGTATTTTTAATTATACTGTCGAACTTCATACTGTTTTACCTTGTTTCATTTATATATAACCAGTAGGGCCCTTACCTTCCTCGTCACTACCCGACCGAGGTTAGGCTTGGCACTTACTGGGTACCCCTGTGGTGTACTCATGCCCTTTCCTGCACATGTTTTTCGTGTGCAGATCCAGGTTCTTCTGCTCAGCCGTTCTATCAGTGAGGCGGTCGATATCAGAGACTTCGAGGTATATCTGCCGCGTTCGCAGATCCAGAAGTCCCTCTCTATTCTTCCTTTAGCTTTAGACTTCCTGTACTTACTTTTGATTAGACATTCTGGAGTTAGAACACTATGTAGTTTTCTCTAGCTTGTGATTTCATGAGATTTCGGGTTTTGGGAGTTTTGATTCATTTATGAGAGTGTGCATTGTAGATGCCGGGCGACATTCTTAAACTCTTTTATTTTGTTTTACCCGTGACTTGTTAGTTTCGTATTTTATTTCCTTTTTTCAAAATTTGTTAGGCTTACCTAGTCGTAGAGACTAGGTACCGTCACAACAGTTCACGGAGGGAGAACTTGGGTCGTGACACTGATAAAAAATTAAATTTAAATAATGGAACATAAAACACATTAGTAACTGTGTTTCCTTCTGATATAGTGCTATCACCAGTATGAGTAACATAAGAAATGTCTCCATTTGGCATAAATATCTTCTTTGGTTTTTCAGACTGAAGAATAATTGAATTGTTTAACATATTCAGATCAGCTACCATGTGATTTGTGGCTCCTGTGTCTATTATCCATTATTGTAGACTACTAGAAACCATCATAGCACAACTAATACCTGCTGCATTGGCTGCAGGAGTTGACATTATGCTGGAAGACTGGCTAGTTCCTGTTCTATTGAGAAGTTGAAGAATCTGATGATATTGCTCTCTAAAGAATGTGCAACCTATCATCTGATTCAGTTGATTGAAATTAAGACCAATTATAGATCCTTAGTCCTCAGTAGTTGTAGGAGCTTTATTTGTATTCATAGTCAAATTCTGCAAATGAGCCCTTGCATCATTGTACCCACTGTATGTCTGTTGTGTTGGATTGTCTGTAATGACAAAGCTGCATTGTTTCCTGCTCCCCCTTTCTTCTTTGGTCTGTAATTAGGTGGATAACCCACTATTTTGTAGCAATTTTCTTTGCTGTGACCCTTGAGTTTACAGAAATCACACTAAATGTTATAGTTTTTCTTGAACCTTTGATTTCCTGTGGATCTTGAATACATTACTACATCAAAGTTTCTTGTCATCATTGCAGGGTTGGTTCCTAAAATTCCTGTAGAGGATGCTATAGATTTCTGAGCCTCATCACTCATTATCACAGCATAAGCTTGATTAACTGTAGGTACATGACTCCTCATTAAAATCTGACTTCTAGCCTGAGCATATGAGCCATTTAGCCCCATTAAAAATTGATACAACTTTAGTGTTTGAAGGTACACAACAAAATCCTTAGATTTAGGAAAATCACAGCCTGGTGCTGGTACCAAGGCTTCAAACTCTTCCCATATATCCTTAAGTTTTGAGAAGTATACAGACACAAATGCAGTACCTTGAGATAGAGTTGCAATTTCTTTATGAAAGATCTTGAATCATCTACCTTATTAAACCTTTCAAATAAATCTTCCCAAACTACTTGGGCACAAGAAGCATACGTGATTCCTCCAAGAAGGTTTTTAGAAACAGAGTTCATACTCCAAGAGAGTACAATTGCAATTACTCTCTCCCAGTGATTCCATAAAATTTCTGGAAATTTTTCTTTCTTGCATGTACCATCAATTAATCCTAACTTGTTCCTACCTAGTAAGGCAACTCGCATAGGTCGATTCCAGATACAATAATTTTCAATGCCTGTGAGTTGAAATGAGATAATTTGTATACCACTTACATCAGCTGGAGACAAGAACAGTAGATGATTATAATCGACTCCAATTGGTTGATTTTCAGTTCCAAGTGACGAGGTTTCAATCCCAGAATTCAATTGCTCCCTTGCATGTTGCTGATGAACTACACCTTGACCCAGATTCTGCTGATTCTGCTCGTTTTCCATTGAACAAGAATTCATAAGAACTTTATGATATACTTTTTGTAATTGTGGAATAAATCGATAATTTCGAGCTAGATTATCAAGCTCGTAGGCTCTGATACCATGAAATGATTTGAGAATTAACAGGGTATGAACCCTAGAGATGAAGAAGAGTTAGAAGAGATGAACTAGAGAGAAGTTAGAGAGAGAAATAAGCAGTAGGAAATGATTTCATATCTATTGCATATATTGAAAAATATGTTGATTTACATTATATAGCTAGGTAATTAACTAACTAATGGACTCCTAACTTCCGTTAATTAACATACACAATGAAATAACTATTCTGCCCTTTCTATATTACACTTAAGTTACCCCTCTCTCAATACCTCTACCCCATTTTCAAACCGACCGAGACAAACCTCTCACACCTCCTCACTGGAGCATCTCACTTGGAAAATATAACAAGTCAAAACGATATATTTTTCGGAGGAGATTTTTGGCGACAAATTTTAATTTAGGGTTTATTTTTTATGTAAAAAGCTTCTTCCACGAGTTGCGACTTGCCGATTTGCGACTGGGGATAACGTGAAGTCATTGCAAAAGGAGATCGAAACACAAGAAGTTTGTTCAAAAGGAACAAGAGCTTCTACCTTTTGTGGCACATCAGAACTACTAAGTGATAAGATAATTCAATAATTGTGTCTAATTAGAGAGAAAAAAGACGAGGGGTAGTAAGGTCATTTCCATTCTGATAAGGGACTTCATTTTATCGTATGTGACCAAAATTATTTCCCTAAGCAAGTAAACCAATTAAGAAGCCATCCCAAACTGGCAACAACACCCAAGGTTTCACATTACAAGAAAATCCCCAATTGCTAACGGATTTTACCAACGACGTAAATTTATTAGTATATTAGTAGCAGATTACTAAAAAAATTGTAACTGATTTATTTTTCAGAATTTAGTAACGAATTGCCAAGCAAAATTTTACTAACTAAACAATTTAGTTGGTAAATATGGTAATAAGTTCCTCCCTCAGAACCCCCCAAACCTACTCTTATCGCTTTCACCTCCTTTTAATGATTTCTGTTTTATACAAATTGGTAGGAACTGACCTTAATAATTAATACTACAAATAATGAATTAAGCAAATGCCGAAGCATTTTTGTAGGGACTATCATTATCAACTTTAACTGTTTCAATTGGTAATTATATTCTGTTAGTGTTAAGACACAGAATTCGTACGTACTTTTGTTATATTAGCATCAAATTAATGATATTTGATAATTGTTTAACCAAAAATTAGATTTTAGGTCAAAGCTTGAACTTAGAAGAACTCGGGTTACTGATAATCAGAAAAGTATATAAGAAAGGGACTTTGAATAATATAATCAGAAAGCAAATAAAACAAAGTATATTCCAGTAGTGTTTTTTCGTGTCCTTACAGTTGTTTGTGACTTTCCCTTTTATAGCTGTTTTGGGAATACAGACTTTCCCTTTGTCATAATAAGACAATTATGGGTAATTAATGACTTTAAATGTTACGTTATGCAATCATATACATTAAATACATATTCTCTAACGTTTCTAGTATTTAATACTCATTAAATGCTGTATCTGGGCTCTTTTTTGCTATCAGATTCATTCCTTTGTCTCTTCTCGATCTTTGACCTTTGAATGTCTTGAATAGGTACGAGCGTTGAATTATTTGTATGACTGCTCGTGCCTTCTTCATTTAACTTGCTCGTATCTGTTGTTGCTCGTGTCTGTTAACCAACCTTAATTCTTTGACTGTTTGATCAGTCTACGTGTCATGACACGTCACTATATATATAAATACAATTTTCCCCAATACAGATAGTCCCCTCACTTTCCATTTATTCGTCAGTTTGAATATTTGGGAAGTGGAATTCATTAAAGGAGAATTTTTTGTCACCATTAATGTTCTGACAGAGTTGACGCTTTAATTATCACTTCCATTTAATGCTTTAGACACGTGTCATCTTCTTATTGGTTCCACAGTTTACAACACTTTTTCAGGCTGTCTTTTCGGCTCCACTGTTCATGAAGTATCAGTTACCATTATTGTGATCCTTCCATTACTGCGTTTTTACTTTTGACGGTCGCCCATCAGTATAAATTCAATTTTTTCTTTCACCTTTTACCACATAAAACTTTTTCCTTGAACACTTGAATTGTGCGAATCTCTATTTACTTCTTTTTCTTCTTCATCATGTCTTCTTCGAACCCTAACCCTAAGAGAGTTCCTATTTTAGACAATTTTCCCAGTGCCCCTGTTAGACATAGAAGAGGTGGGAGACTTTGTAGCTTAGGATCCTCTCGTGGTGGTGGTTCTGCCATGCCTTCTCCTAGCCCTGGTTCTTCCTCTAGAACTAGAGGTTCTTTTACTCAAAAATCATCTTCTAAGAACAAGGAGGCCTCTGAACCATTACAGGAACCCTTGGTAGAAGAAATAGTCCCTAACGATTTATCTTTTCAGCATGATAGACAATCACTTCAGACCCAAATTTCTGGTTTGGATCGTGTTGATGCTTACCCCACTATGATTACAGAGATTTTAGCTCCCATAGTTCGCAAAGATTGTCACTGGAGTAACGATTTTCCCATTGTAATCCCCAATCCAAATCAGAGGATTACTTCATATATGACTGGACTCTCTTTCGTTTACACATACCCTTTTACTCCTGGGTTTAAACAGCTATCGACCCAGTAATTCTCGGTTTCTGTCGTTTCTTCAAAGTTTGTTTAGCACAGATTGGCCCGCTTGTATGGAGGGTTGTTGCTTGTTTAAGGCATCTGGCCAATTTGGCAAACATTGATTTCATCTTCTCCCACCTAATTCATCTATACTCCCTTAGACTTTTTCGTAATGGCGTCTTTACCTTAGTGGCTAGGAGTAAGAGGGTTTTAGTGAGCCCAGAAGATGATAAGGATCGTGGCAGGTATGCCCGATTTGTTGCTGCCCCCACAGTTGGTTTAGTGGGTGAACAAAACGTTCCCTTCCCTGAGAAGTGGAACTTTGCACGTAAGTCTCTCATCTCTCCCGTACCTCTTTCTTTCGAATTTACAAATTTCTTTAACTTTGTTTCTTTTTTTTTTAGCAACCATGGGAGTTGTGGAGAACATTCCCAATTTTCGTGGTTGGGTAGATAAATTGTTGAAGATCGCTCCTATGGAGGCTAGGTCTTGGAAATTTATCTCCAATCGTCATGGTTGGAAAGTAAAGACTCACGGTATGAGTTTTTGTCTTTCTCATATGTAAGATTTTTCTCTTTATTGCCTTAACTTTCAATTTTCTCTTTGTCAGGTTTTGCTATTCGAGGTGTTACTGCTGAAGCAGTTGCAGCTTCTCGTTTATGAACCCAACTTTCTTTAGAAAGTGCTCAGGATATTCTTCTGAAAAGAAAAACCACAGACGATGATAGCTCCGACGAAGAAGAAGAGGATGGTTCCTTGGTGAAATGGCCAAGAGTTCGAAGACGTATCTCTGATGAAGCTGAAGTTTCTCATCATCTTTCTCCTATCGGGCCTGTTAATCTCGTCTCTGATGATGATGTTGCTACCCCTCATGATACTCATGAGTCGATTAACCAGCTTTTCATTAGTGGTTTTGGGAGTGGCGAGTTAGGACCCGTTTTGGATGAACCTCCCATATCTTCTTCTTCAACTCCCATATCTTCAGTTCCTTCCTTTCCTTCTTCTGTCGTGCCTTTGGCTCCTTCCTTATCTGCTCAAACTTTTTCCGCACCTCTTATTGCTGTTTTTACTTCTTGTACCGCTCCTCCTTCTACTGTCCACAATGTAGAAGCGGGTTCTACAAGCAAAATTGCTATGAGGAGCGTGGCTATCGAAGTGCCTGCTAACAACAGCCTTTTGAGGAAATCCGGTCAGGCGGATGTTTGGCTTGAACCTTTAATAGGCCCAATTGAGAAAGAAAAAATGAATAGCCATAGCTGCCTGACTCTGATGAACGACATAGTTCATTCCACCTTGAAGGTATGCCCCTTCTTTCTTTAATTTTGCCAGAATTTTTCTAGAATTCTAATTTTTCTTTCCTTATCATTTTCAGGCCAACCTTATTGGTACAGAGCTGATGAGCAGAATTTCTTTATTAGAGAAGGTGGTACGTGACTCTGAAAAGGCTGTTCTTGATTCAGAGAGGAAAGCTCGTGACTTTCAGTTGGAAGCAGCTAATTGGAAGGATCAATTTGATAGTGCTCAAATAACAATAGAAGATTTACAAGAGAGTAAGAATAACCTGGAACAGCAGGTGAGAGCATTAACTTCAGAGCTTGCGGTTGTCAAGGCTTCTTTAAGTCAGGCTGAGAAAGAAAGAGAGCGTCTCGAGTCTTCTTTCTCAGAACAATTATCTAAATCAAGTGAAGAGATTAGAGATCTGAGAGCTCTTTTAAGTCAAAAAGAAGTTTATGCTGGAGATTTGATACAGAATTTGACTCAGACCCAAGAAAATCTGCGAACTTCTGAAGACCAGGTGAAGGCCTTAGAAAAATCTCATGCCTCTCTCCAAGCCTCTTATAACTCAGCTCTGAATGAAAATGAAGGTCTCAAAAATGAAATTGCTGCTTGGGAAAGAGATTATGAGCTTCTTGAAGATAAGGCTGCAGTTGATGTAAGCTGGGCTTGTCTGAACTCCCGTCGTGATGCCTTAGTTGAAGCCAGCCAAGAAAACTTTAATCTGGAGTCAGAGTTAGCTAAGGTGATGGAGACTATTGAAAAAGCTCAACAACCATTGGACTTCCCTTCTCCCGCGATTGAAGTTTTTGAAGCTGAAGCTACCGGAGTTGATTTTCCCGTGGGTGAAGTTCCGGTGAGTGAGGCTCCCTTAACTGAAACTTCTGCGGTTGAAGTCCCCATGACCGCTGGAATTGCCTCGGGTGATGCACCCTCTTCAAGCTCAATCGTGCCCCTTATTGCAAGTCAAGTTGAAACTTCATCTATTGATACTCCAATGGTTAGAAATCAACCCGCTTCTGTTGGCG